GTAAAAAAAGTCCCATGGAGTAAACCCTAGCACAGAAAATCCAGGGGGATGAAACATCCTGTCCTAGGGAGCATACCCTGGATAAAAAGGCCCCTGCTATGTGTACATGTGATGTAATGTAACGTTGTCTACTTTTATTACCAATAAAAAAGTTTGAAAACGTACCTGACCTTTTTCAGGCGTTGTGTTTTGAAGATTGAAATAATAACAAACAGTAACTGGCAGGTATTAGTATGACATTATGGAAAATAAATAAGCACGCTATTCATTGACACGAGACACAATGCCAATAGTAAAATATAAACTAGAATTCCGAGATTTCATACCTCCATGAAATATGATCTTGATATGACCTCTGCATTAACATGATATATGCATCGTGATGTATGTTAACTTTTGATTAACTTACAGATGTCCCAAGTATGACATTCTCATCATTCACCATTACGAAATCATAGAATTTTCACATTAATTATGCAAATTAGGTCATCATTTGCATAATTAGTATCTGTTGAAGTTCCGCCTGCCATAGGTTACATAGTATAATGTAAAACACTGTAATTATAGAATTTCCTCATTAATTATGCAAATAAAGTCCTCATATGACTTCTTTCCAAGCACGAGAGCTACCTTCCATCAAAATTTCATGACCCTAGCACGTCCAGATCGCGAGATAATGTAAAACACTGTAATTATAGAATTTCCTCATTAATTATGCAAATACAGTCCTCATTTGCATAATTTGCATTTAATTATGTAACGTTACATCTCTCTCTCAGCTACCTACACACCAAAAATAATGGAAATATGTTGTTCCTGTCTGGACTTATTGGCTTTTAAACATTTCACCAGAAAGTGCCCTGCAGTTCCAGAACAAGCCGCTAGGGGGCCCAAACTCAAAAATTTCATGACCCTAGCATGTCCAGATCGTGAGATATCAAAACCGGAAGTTGCGCTGCAGTACCAAGGGAAGCCACTAGGGGGATCAAAATCTCATCATTTCCAGTTTTCGTCACACCCTACCAAGACACCAAGTATGAAACCCATCCATCCAGGCGTTCTTGAGTTATCTTGTTGACCAACAGACAGACGGACGGACGGACGGACAGATAAACGCAACTGAAAATATAACCTCCATGACACATTTCATGGAGGTAAATATAACCTCCATGACACATTTCATGGAGGTAATAACCTCCATGACACATTTCATGGAGGTAAATATAACCTCCATGACACATTTCATGGAGGTAATAACCTCCATGACACATTTCATGGAGGTAAAGAAATAAAAAGACAATCGACCGAATTTAATTTCCAAACGTTTTTGCCGATGTACATCACTGAGCAAATTTAATGCATAGAATTTGGAGATACTAATATTTGTATTGCATTTGAGCCACGAACAGAAAAAAAATGTCTGACAAGTGTCAAAGTCAGTTGAAAATTGCTATACCCTCTGGTCTAAATTCAAACTCCTGGCAAATAGATATCAGTGATTGCAGTCCTGTTACTTTTCTACTGATTGTTCGAATTACTCTACTTATCGGCCCTGTTAATTTATGTAGGAGTCCTGTTACTTAATTTATTGGTCGTGTTACTCCATGTATTACATTCGCCAAGAAGGTTAATGATCTCTTATTGGCTGGCTTAACCGATGAGGATGAATCATGATACGTCAGTCGTAAGGATAACATCATTTGGGGAAGATACAAGGTCGTGGAACTCAAGTTGGCCGTGTTATTCTATTTTTTTTGGGCTGTTTTCCTTTAAACTGTTGACTGTGAATAAGACCTAGGGGCAGGCTGAGGCCACCATTGTGCCATATGTACGAGCTGTGTGATCATTTTGAGATCCAGAACCAGATGTAGTATTCTGAGTTCTGTAAGTTCACTTTAATCTTATTGAGAATCCCCTGCCAGGGCAAAAACCCTGCCAGGAAACGTACATTGGGGAAACAGAGAGGTCTCTAAAAGCCAGGTTTCAAGAACATACACGGCCTAGCTCTGCCAGTTCAGAGGTGTCTCACATCCACATAGAGTCACCCGGACATTTTGTTTCACTTGACACTGTAAGGATTTTAGACACTGAACAATACTATTTATTGAGAGGGGTGAAGGAAGCCATATACATCAGGGCCCATCACCCTTCATTGAACCGCGACGGGGGTCGACATCGTCTACCAGATACCTGTGACCCAGTGTCACACTTCAAAGAAACCACGTGACAAGCTTCACTGGGTCAGTCTACTGAGGAAGACCAGAGTGACTGGTCGAAAGCTCTAGGTGAGAGAATTTTTGTGTTGGATCAAAAGTTTTAACTTTAAACATGTAACTACCAACACAGATGAACTTTCATGATAATAAATGAAGCAGTTGCATCATTGGCAAAATACTATGATACGTTAATATTACGTGATGGGAGTTTCATACCATACTTAATTTAGATAGAGGAGTACACTATTAGATCATTGTCATCATTTGCATCATCATCATCATCATCATCATGACGGGTGACTAACCCTGAACAACGTCACTCCATGCGACCATATCCGGTATAACCTCATTTGCATAACTGTTGTAAAATTAGATAACGATAACATGTGATATTGTCAATGTGATATTGTCTAATGTCTATGCTCAATGTATTAATAGCGTCTATGTCAGTTTCAGAATTTAGGAGACACCAGCGACATTTTGCAAAGAAGAAAAATGAAGATAGTGGCAGCTAGCACGTATTGCGTGGCAGTTGGTGACTGATCGGGTGGTGCATTTTAATGAATGTAGAGTTTACAGGGTTCAGTATTTTGGCGTAAACCGCGTTTTTTTTATTGTGAAATCTGTTCCAAGGACGAAAAGAAAAGAAAGATACTGATTCAAAAAAGGTGCACTTTTTCATCTAGGCACGTATATGCATCATGAGACATATCTTTTACAATATCACATAATAAAACTAGAGTTCCACGATCTCATACCTTCGCCAAATGAAGTTAATCTTTATGACGGACAAATCATAGATTAGTCCCCCTGATTATACAAATAGGATCCCCATTTCCGTGAATTACATCGGTTGATCATATTCTCCACCAAAAGACAGTCGCCTTAACAAAGAAAGCCATTCTAGCATTTCCTCATAAATCATGCAAATGACATCCTGATTTGAATACGTTATGTTTAATGATGTTCACCTTCACTTAACTTTAAAATACCCTTAGTATGAAATTCTAGGCAGTACTATTCCTGAATTACAATATGTTATCAACTATGTAAATTAAGTCTTAATTTACATAATGAATATCTGCCTGTGTTACTCTTGTTCGCAACATATGCCACAAGCTTGAAGTCATATGATGTAATGCAACAGATTTATAGGATTTCCTCATAAATTATGCAAATTACATCCATATACTCTCAAGTTATCATGTTTACAGACACACACACACACACACACACACACACACACACACATACATATTACACTTTGGCATTATTGTAGAAGCTAAGTAAGACGTCGATGAAGGTTAGACTTTCAGGCGTTTCAGTGACTGAAAATAAAAATCCTTCTCAGTCACTGGTGGAAGATAGTGGATGCTATCTGAAACGACTGACTGTTCAGAGAATTTATCCAGTTGCTTGCTTTATTTTGTATTAGCTAAGGAGAAACGTGAAATAATGTAGAGTTGGAGCTTAACCAACGCTGAAACCCTATGGAAGTGCCATTAAATATATGACTCAGAATACCTCTAGCAAACCACACAGTGATGCCAATGTTAGTATTGACGTTTTGAAACTGTATTCACAGCAGAAATCAGACATTGACTGATTGGCTATCCTACTCTTGAAAGGTCAAACACAGTTGTGCCTTTGTGACTAACGGGAACTGTAGCCCTCTTTCAAATGGGCGACATCACATTGCAGACGCAACAGGCAAAATAATCGATTAATAATGGAAGACGCAACTTTGTGTTCAAACATTTGTGTTACTGTCCAAGTATTAATTCTGTAAACTAAAGTCTTATTGATTGTCGTCATTCTTTTTACCAACATGAGCATGGTGTAGATAAATGTAATAAAATTTGTATTTTTCCGCTGCCAGATCCAACTCGGCGGCCATGTTGTGACAGTTGTGTATGGACATGACAGGTCAGTGACGGGAGTCGGAGTTGTTTAATGACACACATGTGTTCACCCATACACCGCGATCAACATATATTATCCCTTCAAATATATGGACGATATTTGTCTTGTAATATTCACTAGTAGCCCATGATGAAATAAACAGCGCTACATGCCTAGACTTGACGGTAGGGAGGCGTTTGAAGCTTTGAGTATTTAAGCTGTGCCGGCCTGGAGCAGCGGGAAGAACGTGAACTCCGCTCACTTCCTATTTATGGTACGTCTAGCCGGGGATCAAATCTCAGGCTCGGCTTACACAGCCCTGGAAGGGAGGCAGCCATATTGTATGCAGGCGAACATAACATGCAAAGGGACATTACGTTAACATGTGCAGTTCAAGCCGCCCCTCCCCAGCACTAATCCCGTGCGTTGACTGATATGAGATATGTCGAACGGCTTAATGCATAATGACGTGACCGGACTTGTGACGGCCTGAGAGAATTCCGGCTGATAGCGTGAACGTTAGCTCTAATGAAGGAGGTATTTTGATAGAGAGGAAAGAATTTTTAACCTTGTTGGAATGAAAACAAATCAGCAGGGATGAGAGGGCTTCAGAGATGGATCACATACCAAAGTATTCGGCCTAGCTGCACAACTGTAGGCTGGTCACGATTGGCCTTACTAACACAATCTAAATATTACTGAATACAAAGAACATCTCCGATCGGTCACCACGTATAATAATAATAACAACTTACAAGTTGTCAGTAATTTGCGATGACTCGCACTACAGAAGTATTTCTAGGCTGAGGCTATGAATGAATTTGATGTTCGATACGGATCGATGTGGTAAACAGTGACAGTAGATATGAAGGGTGAACTCACCAGATCGTGACAGCGCTATTCCGTAGTTTGCTGCAAATCGCGTTAAGTGATTCAACAAATATATTCTTCTCCAGCCGTTGAATTGGATGCGGAATACCAGGCTATCTATGCATCCCCTGTTCAGATATGCTAGGTATGAACGACTAAAAATTACCCCGGTAATGTATGCAAGGTCTCCAACATTGGACTCTGCCAATGAGAAAGCGTGCGTTTTGGCGGCCTGCCGTGTCAAAAGTCCATGTCTGTTCTAACCAGTTCTTGGTTGAGGATCTCCGGGGACCTGGCCGGCCACATCGCTGTCGTGTTTGAGTACGAGCTAATCAGCGTCTCGTAAACACCGGCTTCCTCCGCCTCTCGAATGCGTAATGATTTACGCAACCATAATGTACCGGTAACGTGCTTTGCAACGTGTAAAGGGCCGACGGTCTGCCCTTCAACATAGAAAAGGGCACCCGAAATTCAAACGTTCCTTCTTCTATCACAATATTTCCAGACCGGAATGGACTTGAATCGCCACTAACAAGTCCTCGCGATCGGAAGGATCCATACAAATATCAAAGCAATGGCAGTGGGATGAATTTGATTTGAGTATACACAAGATGTCTGTTCTGATATGAAGCTTGACAAATCGCAAAAAAATCAATCATGATGACATGTCAGGACTAGTCCGAATCCTACGTTTGACTACAACTGAACAAAATCAAGCGAGTCTATGCACACGCACGTCGCCACATCTCGACCGGATCTCCATTGCGCAGTCATGTGTATAAAATGTCGAATCCGATACATATATGTAGTTTACATTGGCTGGGCGATACTTCATATTTAGTCACGTCTATCTGATACGTTATCTAAAATCAACCTAGTAGTACGCAATTCAATCAAATTGTTTGGAAGAGAAGAGATTGGGTCTTCAGCAGTAGACAGATAAGATAGAGTGGTAATTTACTGGCGCGCGGCAATGGGAACTGTTCTGCACGCGCAAGGCGGTTTGTATGCCATGTGGCATGTCAACATTGTAAGAATGTGTATGAAAAGGATAATTACATGAAGGTTAATTTCGCCAGCAACCACTAATTGGTTTCCATCGGTGAACAATGGAACTGGCTCGATGGGCTTTTCATAGGAGTAAGAAAAAATACATTGTCATTACACCATTTGGGCAATTGTGTTTGGAGAGCGTTCTTTTGCCCAGAGGGAGTTCAAACCGCCGGACTGGTACAAACACAGTCTCTGTGGCAGGGAAATAATCAAGGACCGTAGGAGACTCCTGGCTCCTACTGGCTCTAGAAAAGCGGTCTTTGAAACCCTTCATTCCCTTCCCTTCGCTTGAAAAAATGGTTCTATTCATTTGGCCAATTTGTTGAGGTCATTTGAAGCAGAAGGGCAGCGCCATATATAACAGAATCCAATCTTTTATCCCAAGGGAGAGCCTTGATCAACATCGTCACACAGCTTTATTCATTACGTGTTGTTGGCGTGGTTTACTGGTTAGATACCAGCTGCCTGTACATGTACAAAACAGATAAAATAGTGCATTGCACAGAATCGCTCTCGCCGTTCTCCGCCTTAGCCAGAGAGTGTTTCGCATAATATAACGTACCGTCCCCATCGGCAATTTTTGCTGCTGTGTGTTCGTTACGGGGAGAGATGAATTGATTCGGCAAAAATGCGGTCAAACAACAACTGTCCGCCTACTCAGAATATTAGCGTGTCAGGGAGACATGCCGAAACTTCAGGCCGCGGTATTTTCAATTCTTGTATGGGATTTGATAGACTGGTGACCGTCCGCGTGGACTTATTCCGTGATATTCTATTAAGTGAATAGTAAATTGAGTAAAATATAAGACATAAATGTATGGACACAGTTCATTGATATCACATACCTAAATCTAATTTTACAAACATATTCTGATATACATCTTTTCCCCAGTTAGTTAAGATGCTGGCGTCAACTTAGAATTTAACCGGTTGAAAAACGCCAGCCTATAAAGCATTTTCAAGGACTCTCGTTGTTTTGAAATTCCCTGAGCGGTTGGGGGAATATCTGTCCTGATAAGCAGCCCTGTAGCACAGCCTTACGTATCATCATTCCATCTGTGTCCAGGCATGGCCAGTCCCGGTAAAGCCTCATTAGAATAACCATGAGGTGAAGCTTTAGGAAACCAGACAGAGAATAATGTCAGAACAAATCAGCGTCATACCTTGAAGGACAACCCCTTTTCAGCTGCTATTTGCATGACTCGTGTTCATGCGCCACTTGCTGAAAGTCCCTTCCGCTGAAGAGGAGAAATGTACTAGTAGCTGTAGGTTGACTGTCGCCCGGTTCAACGCTTTCTAGTCCTTCAAACCTTACTGATGCGATTGTGTAAAGCATGAGTTGCGTATCTGTGGAAATACGGCAGGGCGTAATGGAGTTATTAACTCACTGTAATACTGTAATGACTACCCAGGTCGCGTACTATGTTAGCCCATATATGGAAGCGGTGTTCTTAAAACTCTGCTGACGTATGTAGGTGGACAGAATAGGCCCATCACACGTAAGCAGACGTTTAACGCCTACCCACAGGGACACGCTGCCCTCACCTGCTGACATAATGTCTGACGACTGATGTTCTGACGAGGAGTAAGGTAATAAGACTGGAGGGCTGGAGGTTTGTATGATACGTTCTGAGCTGAAATTTTTACCTCCATGAAAAAATGGTATTGTTTTTAGCCTGTCTCTCTCTCTCTCTCTCTCTCTCTGTGTGTGTGTGTGTGTGTGTGTGTGTGTGTGTGTGTGTGTGTGTGTGTGTGTGTGTGTCTGTGTTTGTGCACATTTGTAGTCAGCATAACTTCATAACGCCTTTATGGATTGTGATGATATTCGGTATGCTGATAAGTCTTAGGAAGACAAAGGTCAATGTCAAATATGGGCCTCCTGGTGGATGACCTTGGTACTGCAGCGGAACTTCCGGTTTTCGTATATTTTGTCCTGAACATGCTATGGTCTTGACTTTTTGATGACAGATACCTTTCCCTGTAAGGAATAAGTGGTGTGAGTTTGTGAACAGATACCAATTATATTATCATGATATTTCAAACTCATATATTTCATAGAGGTGTGAGATCTCCAAATTCTTGTTTGTCAAAGCTGATAGAAAGACAGAAGATGATGGAAAAGACACAGGAATATGTAAACACAGCGCAGAGAAGTAAAATTCTGGATAAAGTACTACTTTCTACATCCAAACGCAAAAAAAACTATACTGGTAAGCAAATGTATCGTCATAAGTGTATAGTAGTGGTTTTAACTATTAACCAAACGGTGTCAAAATACCCGTTCATACTAGAGCAAACATTGCACTGATTCATTCTAGTTCAAGTTTGATAATGTTATGATATGGTAATTAGAACCTATAAGCACATACCAAAAACCGTATGAGATGAGCGATTTCAGGAGGTCTTTGGTTTTTGGTGACGCCTCATAGGTGAGCCAAATAGCGCAAAGAATTCTAGGAATTCTATGATACCTCGGGAATGCGTCGTTAACATTTCTTGTAAGTAAGTTTGCTGTGAATCGGTTATCTATAGTGGAGACATTGGTCATATTTCGGCACCACCAATCGAAAAATGGTCTTGTCTTGTTGATGTAAAGGAGTTATTGCAACATTTTCATATGAAGGCGAGAATCAGTCCATCAGGTGACACCTGTTTTGGTCACGACGATCGTGAAATCCGTGCAGGGTACAATGTAGTCAAGCGTTGCTGCTTTCTGATTGGTTCACCTTTACACCTTTAGTTATATCCTATCTGTGCTTTCCCGTTGGCCAGCTCCCTACGTCACTCCCCGGGCCAATCGGGGCGCAGCTTACATATCCTGGAATCTGGGTCACCAGAAGAAAATGGTGGACTAGCAACGGCCGTGTCTCCGTCTTCTTTGTCTCAGGTTTTTTTTTTCTATTCTAACATGTAATGACCAGACGCGGTGATGACACACTCAAGTTTTGTCAACTTATATTAATGCCGCCACCAACACGGGGCAAATACATGACAGGACAATACTCACTTTCACCCGAGCGATGTGAGGAAAGTCGTGTAAAGTGCCTTTCCCAAGGGCACAAGATCGGTGGCATGTCAGGACTCGCTACGCCACACGACCCCACACTACGCCACACGACCCCACTTGTCTCAGTTTAAGTCAGAAGACCTGTGGCGCAGGTTGCACATTTATCTAATTTTCTCTATAGTATATATCTTATTTTAGGATAGCGTATGACGAATGCCTTGAATGTAGAAGGACTGATATGCTGACAACAGGCTACCGAAGTCTCTTGGGTGATTATCGCTCCTCTGGCTGATCTTTTCCCTTTTCTTTTCTGTACGCAACCGTGTGAGTGACGTGCGTTGACGTAGTGCTCATGTCAGTTCTTCCCCACGTTTTCAGAAATACGTAGCGGGTGTGGCCTCAAAAAAATGTACGGACAAAAAGCACGCACTGCGGGTTGTGCCCGACGTTTATTTCGTAGCCCGCGTCGCCTGGTGGATCAGGCAGACAACAAACGTGAACATCGGTTGGGTCAAATATCAGCCCAATGTGTGCAGGACTGGTGGAAACCCGTGATCATGATTTGGCATGAATCACCTTTTGCACACAGTGTTTTGGGGTTAAAAGTGAAATTATCACTCCGTGAAGGAGGTCAGGACCTCCGGACGGAGTGTTGTGAACGGCTGATTTTTCATGTTCGCAGTCAAAACACTGGGTTCTCTTTGTGTAATCGGCACGCAATTTTGTACGCCGTCTGCGGGCATGCCCGTGTTGATGCACGAATGTGTATTTTTGCCGTTGCTGCTTTCGCGGTCAATGTAATATTGCAGACGCACCCCTACAATTACGAGGCGAATTGGAATGGTCCAGAAAAACGCGTTGTTTGGAATAGCAGTGGGGGGGGGGTGGAACTTCATGCAGATACGGGGTGGTTTTGATAAGTGGTTCCAGATATTTTTGCCCATGCTTAAGAGATGCCAAGTTTTTTGGAAGATGTTCGCAGCCAAAACGCATTCTTCCGTACTTCGCATTAATGTGTAATTTCGCATGTGGTGTGGCATTATGTCCGGGATGATGCACGTCTTTTTATTTTTACCGTAGCTGTTTTGATATTGAAGTAAATGCATATTTTAGAAACATCCCTACTTTTACAATCCTGTGGAATAGGCCGTAGGTTTAGGCAGTTGTCTGATAGCAGAGGTACTCTAAGCAGATATCCTGGTTATCTGGCCGGCGGTAGTAACACTCGCGGTGCTTACCGCA